AAAAACTAAAGTGCAAGGAGTATTTATCTACATTTCTTGTTTCAGCAATTGCTGTACCTTTCCAGTTACTTATTATGTGTTGTGTATTAATTTGACTATAACACTTTTGAGTGACTGGATAGGTTGATAATATTCATCAATTGAAAAAGAAACTGGAGAGATTGGTAATAGTTTTAGACAGCGGCAATTGAAGGTACACAAATTTAGGTTGTCATATCAGCTTACAAAGTCATATCAATAGCCCAGGCTAGTGGTCAATAAGCATGAGTCATCAGACATCAGTCATATCAATGGCCTAGTGTAGTGGTCAATTATCAGGAGTGATCAGTCAACAGTCCTATCAATAGCCTAGGGTAGTGGTCAATTATCGGGAGTGATCAGTTTACAAAGTCATATCACTAGCCTAGGGTAGTGGTCAATTATCTGAAATGACCAGTTAACAAAGTCATATCACTAGCCTAGGGTAGTGGTCAATTTCCTGGAATGACCAGTTAACAAAGTCATACCACTAGCCTAGGGTAATAGTCAATTATCTTGAATGACCAGTTAACAAAGTCATACCACTAGCCTAGGGTAGTAGTCAATTATCTTGAATGACCAGTTAACAAAGCCATACCACTAGTATAGGGTAGTGGTCATTTATCAGATCAGTTAAGTTAACAAATCTATATCACTAGCCTAGAGTAGTGATTAATTATCAGGAGTCATCAGTAAACAAAGTCACATCACTAGCCTAGGGTAGTGGTCAATTATTAGGAGTGACCAGTTAACAGAGACATATCACTATCCTAGGGTAGTGGACAATTTTTAGGAGTGATCAATTAACAGAGACATATCACCAGCCTAGGGTATAGTCAATTATCTTGAATGACCAGTTAGCAAATGCATATCACTAGCCTAGGGTAGTGGTCAATTATCAAGAGTAATCAGTTAACAAAGCCATATCACTAGCCTAGGGTAGTGGCCAATTATCTTGAATGACCATAACACAGTCATATCACTAGCCATGGGTAGTGGTCAATTATCTTGAATGACCAGTTAACAAAGCCATATCACTAGCCAAGGGTAGTGGTCAATTATCAAGAGTAATCAGTTAACAAAGCCATATCACTAGCCTAGGGTAGTGGCCAATTATCTTGAATGACCATAACACAGTCATATCACTAGCCATGGGTAGTGGTCAATTATCTTGAATGACCAGTTAACAAAGCCATATCACTAGCCAAGGGTAGTGGTCAATTATCAAGAGTAATCAGTTAACAAAGCCATATCACTAGCCTAGGGTAGTGGCCAATTATCTTGAATGACCATAACACAGTCATATCACTAGCCATGGGTAGTGGTCAATTATCTTGAATGACCAGTTAACAAAGTCATATCACTAGCCTAGGGTAGTGGTCAATTATCTGGAATGACCAGTTAACAAAGTCATATCACTAGCCTAGGGTAGAAGTCAATTATCTGGAATGACCAGTTAACAAAGCCATATCACTAGTATAGGGTAGTGGTCATTTATCAATTCAGTTAAGTTAACAAAGCCATATCACTAGCCTATGTTAGTGGTCAAATATCAGGAGTCATGAGTTAACAAAGTCATATCACTAGCCAAGGGTAGTGGTCAATTATCAGGAGTGATCAGTTAACAGAGACATCACTAGCCTAGGGTAGTGGTCAAATATCAGGAGTGATCAGTTAACAGAGACATATCACAAGCATAGGGTAGTGGTCAAATACAAAGAGTCATCAGTAAACAAAGCCATATCACTAGCCAAGGGTAGTGGTCAATTATCAAGAGTAATCAGTTAACAAAGCCATATCACTAGCCTAGGGTAGTGGTCAATTATCAGGAGTGATCAGTTAACAAAGCCATACAACACTAGCCTAAGGTAGTGGTCATTTATCAGATCTGTTAACAAAGCCATATCACTAGCCTAGGGTAGTGGTCGTTTACCAGGACTGATCATTTAACAAAGCCACATCACTAGCCTAGAGTAGTAGACAATTATCAGTAGTGTTCAGTTAACAAAGTGATATCACTAGCCTAAGGTAGTGGTCAATTATCAGGAGTGATCAGTTAACAAAGCCATATCACTAGCCTAGGGTAGTGGTCATTTATCTGGAATGACCAGTTAACAAAGCCATATCACTAGTATAGGGTAATATCAGATCATTCAACAATGTCATATCAATAGCCTATGGTAGTTACCAATTATGTGTAAGATCACTAGCCTAGGGTAGTTATCAGTTATGTGTCATATCACTAACCTTTGGTAGTTGTCATTTATGTGTCATATCGCTAGCCTTGAATA